GACGTCTACTAGGCTGAACAACTGAACGTTTCAGTCCCCATGGTCAGCCTTAAACGTCCGTCCTGGGGCGAGACGGACGTTTATAATAGTATGAACGTCTAGTAGGCTGAACAAGTGAACGTTTTCAAGTCCCCATGTCAGCCCTTAAACGTCCGTCCTTGGTCGAGACGGACGTCTACCAGGCTGAACAACTGAACGTTTCAGTCCCCATGGTCAGCCCTTAAACGTCCGTCCTGGAACGAGCCGGACGTGTATAACATTATAAACGTCCGTTTGAAAGGGCAGGACGTCTACGACACTGAAAAACTGAACGTTTCAATTCCCCATGTCAGCCCTTAAACGTCCGTCCTCGGAGGGCCGGGACGTCTATAATATAATAAACGTCCGTCCCCCGATATCGGACGTTTAAGGGGCTGAAGACAATTAATCTCCAACCACCCTGTCAGCCTTTTGAACGTCCGTCTTGGAGGGGGACGGACGTCTACTATATTATAAACGTCCGGCCCCTCCAGGACGGATGTTTAAAAGGCAGACGGGTTCAACTACTCTGTCAGCCTCTTGAACGTCCGTCTTGGAGGAGGACGGACGTCTATTATATTATAAACGTCCGGCCCCCTTCAGGACGGACGCTCAAAAGGCTGACGGGTTGACCTACCCTGTCAGCCTCTTGAACGTCCATTCTGGAGGGGGCCGGACGTTTATAATATTATAGACGTCCGTCCCCCCCAGGCCGGACGTCTAAAACTACCCGCGAATATCTTATAGACGCTCGGAGATACAACAGAAGGAAATCCAAAAACTCCACGAGCAAGAGAAGCGCGAATTGGAAGCGAAGTCGCAAAAGCGCCAAGCAACGTCCTCCGACCCCGCTACCGCTGCCCCCACCTCCTCGAACACCGCCTCCGCGTCATCCTCATCTGTCGCCTCCACCTCCCTTACTGACGAACAAAACATCGACAACCTCGTCCTCCCGAAACTTGAGGTCATCCGCCGCCTCCGCTTCCTAAAGCAGCCAGTCACGCTCTTCGGGGAGGACGACGATGCCAGGCTGGACCGAGAGGGTGGAGGTGGCGACGACGACTTGAGCGAGGGAGGCTCTAGCGGCGCTGATGCCGATAAAGATTTGAAGCGTATGAAGGCGAATTTTGAGGAGCTGTGCGACGAGGATAAGTTTCTGGTGTTTTTTAAGAAGCTCCTGAACGAGTGGAAGCAGGAGTTGCACGAGAAGCCTGAGTCGTAGAAGCGCACAGCTAAGGGAAAGACCATGGTTGCTACGTTTAAGCAGTGTGCGCGTTGCTTGAATCCGCTGTTCAGAGCGAACGTCTATATAGACGTCCGGTATGTCATAGCGGACGTTTATATAGACGTCCGTCTTGACACAACGGACGTCTATATAGACGTCCAGCCTGACACAACGGACGTCTATATAGACGTCCAGCCTGACACAACGGACGTCTATATAGACGTCTGGCCTGACAACCGACGTTTTGAACGACGTCACCCGCATAGACGTCAGGGGAAAATCGGAAGTCAAAAGGCCCAATGACCGGACGTCTAAAGCCCTTTCTGTTTCTCAGCATAGAAGTTGTTGTTTTGTTCATTATTTTTAACAAAATTCATGACACTTTTTTATTAAAAAAAATTATTAATTATACTAAATATTCAACGAATACAAATTGAGTTTAGTCCCTTCAATTTTTTTTCAAATATGCCAACATGGAGAAAAGTTAGGCTAAGAACTTCAACATTTACAATTAATGATTACGAGAAATATGAGAAATAACAAATCAAAAGTAGCAACTAATCAACTTAGAAACTACTATAAAAAGGGATAATGATACTTTGACAAAATTTTTTTTACAACATTTTAACATCATTTACGTGTCATTCTGTAATTGGTCCATATTGGTGTTTATGATTATTATTATTGATTATGAAGTAATTTTGGACCAATTACAGAATGACACATAGATAATGTTAAAATGTTATCAAAAAAATGTTGTCAAATTATCATTATACTATAAAAAGCGAATGAGTTCTAAGATCAATCCATAATCACCTCATCAATATATCATCCACTTCAAGCTCTATCTCATTCACTGTTTTTTTACTTCTATTTTTTATTATGTTTAGTAGTACCTTCTACATGGAAAGTTATGTGTCTTGGTTGAATTATTCTCTAATTTTTCAATATAAAGTATGTTGTCGGTTCCTTTTGAGTTTTGATTACTTTTTATAGGATTGTTTTAGATGCATTTATGTATAACTCAATACTATGTTTTTATGTTAGAATTTTTATTAATATTCTAATAATCTTTTATTTAAGTAAATGAGTGGTACTTCATAGACGTTGAAACTTGGGAAATATATTAAATAATATATCACGAGAGTAGTGTGGATGGGATTTTAGTCATAGACATTGGAACAATTAAAAAAGAAAATAATTCATTCCCGGTTGGTTAATTTAAACTTAACATGTAGAAATTCTCTCCCCCTTAAGTTTATGTTGTTTAAGTAATGGTGCGTTACCCAATGAGTTAGTCAGTGAGCCAACTAAATTTAATATAAGTGAATTGAAAAAATTTAAACTATACTCGATTCGGATTGGTGAGTTAACCTACTTGCTCATTTATTTTCAAGTTTTTTTTTTAATTTTAAAAAAAAAATCACAAATTCTAATCAAGTTTTAAAAATTTATTTTATAGGAATCTAAGTTAACAAGTCTTAAACATTTCTAATCAAATTCTAAAGTATGATTTTCTCGTATGTTTTTTTTAAGGGATTTCCAATTGAAGACAATTGGTAAAATCAAGGTAAATGCTCTTATTAGTAATTTTTATTTTAAATATTCATCACAAAGAGTTGTATTATATCCTTGATTATTTCTATTATTAATTCTTTATGTTTTCTTGGTTTATTTTTTACATTATGTGTTACAACCAAAATTTTGGAGGTTTTAGTAATTAAGTAAAAGTTTTAAAACATTATTTCACTTCTTTTATACAACCCAGTTTACAATGATATAAATATATAATTACAATGATATAATTATTGGTTTTTTTTGTATATTTTAATATTTATATACAAATCTACTTCAGACAATTTATAATATATATATATATATATATATATATTATAATAGTTTTAATTTAAATGTAAAATTCTGAGGAAGACACATACATGTAAAATTTTCAGGAAGACACATGTAAATTAATTTGTAAAATTTCTCTTTTATGGAACTCAGATATAATTCATTTGAATTACTTAAAATTAAAATTAGTTTGAATTATCATGCTGACATATGGTTTAGTACGCGTACCTGCAAGGTATACTTCAATTATTGATAGAGTTCCTAAAATAATAAAAAGAAAATATTTATATAAAGATAAAAATCTAAATTTAAATATTATATTATTTACATATAAATTAAAAAATAATTCACTCCTGCATATCAAATTTGAGAGGTAACTGAAATTTAGTTAAACCTTAAATATATGTTTTTTTTAAATATCTAGAAGCATCATTATTAATTATTTAATTTTATATTCAATTATGTTGTACCTATAATTAAACTTGAAGCTTATCTCGAAATGAAAAAAATTTTATCTAGGATTTTCAACATTGGCCATATTTTAGGAAATTAGTACATTTTAAAAAAATTACAAAATAAATAAGACGTGTTTTAAAACATACAATCTTATTAAAAAAAGTAGTGTATAATTGTACTTTTGTTTTACAATATAATTTTTTTAATTTTAAAAATATAAGAAGTTGAAATGTTAACACCATAAAGTATATATCTTTTTCTAATTCAGGTAAATACTTTTAAAGAAAGATTAGTAAATTTTAAAATAATTACTGGAAATAAATAAATAGTGATTTAAAACGTAGAATAATATATATCTCACCACAATTGCTGACTCCGTTGAAAATTTCACAACCTAAGCATTGAATTTGTTGCGTGATTTGGTTGAAGTCGCAATCCATACCCTTTCCACATTGCTCCCTGCAAGCAACTGGTAACCAAGTCAACCAAAATCCTTCTTCCAGAGATTTAAGGATATCAGTATAGGAAACGTTCCTGTCATGTGTTTGACTGCCATGTGTCCAGTTTAGGAAGGTAGCAACCTTTAATCTGCATCCGGCCTTCACGTCCATAACTGTAAATTCCGGATCACCGCGATCCAGCACGGCGTAGGTATAGCCTCCGAAATCACAACCGCCGCCGGATTTCACTTTCACATACCGAGGATCATCACTCACTCGGTAACTACAGTTTAGAAACACTACTTTATACCCATACTCCTCCCCAGACAAAGTAATCAGCAGATCATTGTCAGGTGCACTGAAACTTTGTGTGTACAAGAAATAGCGAGGAAACGAGCAAGAAGTGTCCTCCACAACACCCGGATCAATCAGTCGGATTTGGTACCTATCGTAATTGATTTCCTCCACATAGTATTTCCCTGAAAACAGTGTAACCAATGTTCTGTTATTCACGCAATCAAATTCATACTCGGGAAGGCCGCAACTGGGAGGGTCGTCTTTCAGTCGGAATGGATGTTTTATGTGGCGAATTTCGCCGCACGAAGAAGATGGACAGGATGTGCCATGCTTGGCGCAGCAAGTTTGGTAGAATAGTAGGAGAATGGTGGCCATAGAGAGAACCACCAATTGTGCGCAGCGACTCCAACAAGGTAAAACAGACATTGTTATCTCTGCTCCTCAAATTGGAGGAAAAGACACTTAAATATTACCAATGGCCGGACTACTACCTCAAATTATTAATAAATGATAGTTGATTTTTTAAATCGATTATATATGTAGCTAGTTATATCCCTTTAATCCTCTTCCTTTAAATTACTATTTTTTTTTAATTTATCATATAATTTAAGAAAATTATATTAACTTTTATTTAATATTTAATTTAATAACTTATATTATTATATATTAAATTATTTTTATATTTTTCTATAATTATTTAATTTATATTTCATATTTCTATTTTGTATTTGATATTAAAGATAAAAACATCTAACATTATTTTGTATTCTATAATTACTATTTTCATATTCAATATTTAATACTGTAAAATCCTATTTTAATAGTTAAAATATATATATATATATATATATATATATATATATATATATATATATATATATATATATATATATATATAATAACTTACAAGAAACCTGATATTTATAGAGAGAAGATTCTATTCTTGAAGAGCAAAAATTATGTATTATGTTGCTTCTCTCTCAACCAACTACTGCATCAACTGAAAAGATATTCCCTTCCTAAGCTCATACCAGTTAAGGTGATCATTGCAAAAGAGAAAACAACACACACAGACAAAACACAAAAGCAAGGATAAGTTAGTGATACAAAACATTTCATAATATACTTAAGTATTTTAAACATTCCACACATATAACACAATTTAATCAACCAAACACTTTACACATGACCATACTCTAATTGGACTGTCTGGACTTAGAATGAATGTCTGGACCAAACATTCTACTGCTTTGCAAAGCCATTGTTAATGTGTTTCCCCCTACTACACTCACAAGGTTAGTATGTTTCACACCTTGGATCATACTGGAAGCACCCAAGACTAAGACCTCCTTCTTCTCACCACATGAATCTTCTCTACTTGAGAATGAAATACCATTAAACTGTGAGGATAACCCCAAGACTGAGCTTCTTGCATTCATACTAATGATACTTGAAACCACCATTGAGAATTTCCTCCTTGGAACTCTCTTCCATACCTTTGAAACCATTGAGATCACTTCACATTCACATAATACACAATACATGAAACTACTGATCATACATTAAAGAAATAAAAACACCCATACAAGTCATTAGAAATCACACGATAACACAATTTCTTCATGGCATCTTGATACTCATATTTAGGTAGGGAAAATTGCTCTGAAACCCTCACCAACAACTTAGGAAGTGTCCAAAACCCTCAAAATGACCCACAGAACATCTGAAACGGACATCCAGAACCCTGAAACCCCCTCCCCAAAGCAGGTGAAGTGGCGCCCAACAGCGCTCGAGCGCCCAGGGGTTGGTTGTTAACACTTCGGCAAGTGTACCGAATCGTATCAAGTAATAATAAATGGTAAGACCAAGTATCGTTTCCCAAGAGACTCAAGACCTAAATAGTTATGTGATTTCTTGATTAAATAAGACTTGTAAACGAAATTGTTGTGTTTATATTATGGAAAAATAAACATGAATGCAAGTGTTGATCAATTGGATTGAAAGATGCAAAAGTGATTGATGTAGAATATGGAATGATTATGTTGTTGGGGTTTCCGACTTATCCTATCCACTTTCATGTATTTATGAATTCATCTTTCTTCATTAATGTTAATGTCACTTTCTAATTTATCTTAAACCCGATGTCTCGGTGAAGAAAGCCTAATCCTAATCACTAGTTCATAATGTCTTGTCTCCCTAGCAATTAATCATGCATTACATTCGCACAGAAGCTTAAAGGCAACCGATCCTACTATTCCTATGTCTAGGTAATATTGCTTCCGGGAGAATTTCTCCAGTTCTAGATTTCCTCATATGTGTCCATAGTGACAAAATCAATAATCATGCAATTGAATGAGTTAAACAAAGGATGCATAGAGTATAGAGGAAAAACCCTAACAATTAACGAAGTAAAGCATATATAATCAAGAATCAATTCAATACATGAGAGTTTCAAAGGATTACATCATTTTCCCAATAACAAAGGAGGTCTACTTCACCATAGACATGGTGAAACTAGATGAAAATAATGAAAAAAATGAAAGATAGAACCCTAAAAGTTGAAGATCGGAGCTTCCGCATCCAAAATTCGCCTCCAAGGGGTGAAAGGAGTTTAATTTCGCCTCTTTCTGCCCAAAAATATCAACCCTAGGTCGACTAAACCCTTATATAGTTTATTAAAAATAGGTTTAATCCTTTTCGATATCCCTATTTTTGTAGGATCGTCTCAAACAGGTCCTCATATTTTAAAGTCTCTCGGTTAGGTCCTTAATTGTTAAAATTTGAATCAAATTAAATCTTGCCGTTAAATTAGGTAGACGGCGTCAAAAACATTGATTCGTGGCTTAGTGACTTGACTAAGTGCTGTTGATGTGGCACATATTGGTTATCTGAGTTGGCTTTTTTTTTATTTATTCATTTAAAAAAATTAACTTTAATCAAAATGCAACGTTTTGTCTACGAAAAATTATTATAGTTAGGTTTTTTTATAATCAGAATTGACTCAATGTGGAATTTGGAGAAATTTGGGAAAGTAACTGGGATTTCAAGAAATCCCTAAATTGGAAGATTGAAATCCTGAGGGGAGCCAGACCAGAACGACGCGCCGTCCGTCAACATGGACCTCCCATTCATGGGATGAAGTCGGACCGGAACACCGAGCCCAGTGGCGACTTGAACAACGCGATGGGCCCCCCGCCCTGCAGGTAGAGGTGGATCTCCTTGCTACTTCAACTTCTTTCATCAAATTCCTCCAAATTCCTACCAAAACAAGGAAAACCAAGCATAAAACCCATCCAACTCTTTTATTTCCACAACTTAAGCAAAAACATGATTTCAAGCTAGATTCTAAGTCATAAAGGGTGTTTTTGATGTCAAAATTAAGTATAAAAATAACAGTTTTTCAACTGTTATCATTGGGGCCTCTGGAAACATGCACTTAGTGCCCAATTTGGGCACTCAGCGCTATCATAAGATACCAGAATTTCCGAAATCACTTCCTACACTTATCCCACAACTTCTAAAGACCCTTAGAACCCTCCAAACCTTGAGAAAACTTTGAAAACACTGCTATAACTCAATTTGACACTTTAAAACCACAAATTAACTCCTACAAGCTACTCAATTTTAGTTATACACTTTTAAACCTTCATACCAGTTTACAACCTGCATAAACAAGTCTAAATACTTGCTATCTCCAAAACATCAGGTTCACCCTAGCTATCCTAATTTCCATTTCAAACCCTTAAAACCCCTAAAATTGACCAAAAACCCAACCTATGAAGTCATTTACACTTCCATAACAGATTTTTCTGGTTTTAGTCCTTAAACAAGTCTTAATAGGTGTGATAACATGCCTCTAACCTTCCAAAACAGTGTATACCACTTAGTCCAAAATCCCACTACTCAAAACCCCCTTTTTGCAGCAAAAACACTTGAAAACTTCAACTAGAAACTCTCCTTTTTGCTACAAAATAGTTTTCAGCAATAGAGTCTTCCTAACAAGTCCCAATTCACCTCATGACAATACCTAGACAATAGTTTCCTCATATTAGCCCAAAATTCTCAAACTCACACCTTCAAACCTCCCTTTTTAGGCTTAAAACTCAATAATTTAATCACTTTTCATTACAACAACTTGAATTCAGTTTTCAAACAGCAAAACAACATTATCATACACAATCATGACAACATAAAACATCAATTTCACACCATTCCAATTATAGACGCATCATACTATCAAATATCAATATTTAAACATAAGGAATTTTACATTACTATCACTAATTCATTGAATTCATCATATTATTCTCATGAATACTAATTTAGCACAACAAACATAATCTAAACAAGTTCTAGCTTCCCTTACCTTGCAAGACCATTTCTCAACTCAAGGAAATGTTTTGTCGATTGCTTGAAACTCAAAGAATCTCTAGACAAACTTACGAGACACCAAATTGAAAACAGACAAAGTCCTTAGAACTCTAGATGAACCAAGAATGACTAGAAGAAGCATGATTACACATGCAACAGTACAACATTCTTCTAAAAACATATTAGGAACAAGAGAGGAAAAAAGAAGTCAAAACTTACTTATTCTATTCTTGAAATTGATCGACTAGATTTGTAGACCTTGACGTCGTAATCGTCTAGACACCTCTTGATTTTCAAACAGATGACTTACACTAGTACAGTAAAGGGAAAAGACAACGATTGTTTTTGCTTTTACGTAGCGGTTCATGAACCGAGGTATATACAGGCGAGGTAAAAAATGGTAGGCTTTTTGCCTCGGTTCTGAATCGAGGCAGTATGTGGGGGTCTTTTGCCTCAGTTCAGGGGAACCTAAACAATATGTGGGTGTCTTTTGCCTTGGTTGGTTTTGAACCGAGGGAATAGATTTCCTTTTTTCTTTTTTTTTTCAAAAAACAGGGTCTTTTCCCTAATCAAAATCACTTTTTTTTTTGTTTTTTTTATCTGCAATGGACAAATTTTAAGTTTATGATGCATTGTTTCCCACTTCAACACCATGAAACCTACTTGACTAAGGAAATCAAAATGCTAATAGATCAAATAAAATTCATCACATTAACATAATAGAATGTAATTAAATTAAAATTCTAGTCTAATGTTTTCATATTTTATATTAAACAATAAGGAGAAACGAACCATACCTTTGCAAACAGCGACTAACGACTAGTGGCGGCAATGAATGACCGAAGGCGACAATGAACGACCAAAGACGGCGACAAATAGTCAATGACAGCGATGAACGTTCGGTGACGACGATGAACGGTTGGTGGCGGCAACAAATAACGCAGTTCGCACGAGAGAAATGGAGGCAACAAAGATGGAGGCCACACAGGCACTTCACGTGAGAGAAATGAATGCATGAACCAAGAGCTTCGCTTAAGAGAAGAAGAGGAAACAACAAGGAAGAAGAAGAAAATCGCAAGGAAGAAGGGGGAAACGACATGGAAGAAGAATGAACATTAGGTTAAAAAATTTTGCGTTTCTCAAAAGTTAAATATTGAAAGAGATATTACCTCGGTTC